GGAGCTATGGTATCTGTGAGACCAGTAGGCTGTCATCTCTAGGGTTGTAGGGTTATTGGACTTGCAAAAGCTTTTGGATTCTATGTGATCCTAAAGTACTTGTTTAAATATTTTTCTCCTAGTAATCTTGTATTTTCAGAAACAGTAATTGCTATTCTCTACATTATTCCTCAGTGGTGATGCTCCTTCTGCATAAATGTTCCTTAATCCAGCAGCTGGTGCAGATGCTTTGAGTTTGGTGGAAGTCTGCAATAGTGAAGAACAGCAAGATGGCAATTATTATTATTATTTTTTTCAGTAGAAACAAGCAATTTTTCTCTGCCTTTCACATTTGAGAACCATGAAATAGGATAAATTGAGGGAAGTTATGAGAAGATCTTCCTGAAATAAATACTGCAAAAGAGGAAAAGGGTTATAGATATTTCTATGAGCATTTTCTCAGGTGGCCACAGGGTCAATGCAGAGCTGAGGCAGAGAAGGTTCAGCAGCTGCTTAAACATGGGTATGGATTTATCTAGGCAGGTTTGCTAATGAATCAATCAGGTTTTGACAGTGATGAATTTAGGCCAGTAATTAGTAAAGCGAATGAAAAACAGCAGCCATAGGTTATGGTATAAAACACCTGCCATTAGTATCTGTCATTATTCCAGAAAGGCTTCTCAAGTGCCTTGGAGCAGGTTTGCTTTCCTCTAGTATGAGGGTACTCAAGAGAGGAGAGGAGATAAACTTCTTTCTTAGACTGTAAAGAGGCTAGAAAGCTTAGCATACTTAAAATTGCTTAGCAAACACCAGCAAACTCTAGTTTATGGTAAGGCCCTTTCTTGTGCAATCTGCTGCCACATTTTGCTTTGGGCAAGGAAGACAGGGTTTCACAGTGCTGTTATCGAAGGTGGAACAAATATGCCCCCAGGTGTCACTGGGCCACCCACCATGTGGTAGAAACTGTATGTTCTCAATGTCAAAACAAGTAAAGCCAAAGCTGCAAGAGATGAAGGGATATGACATACCAGTTGTTTTATGGGATATGGCACTCATCGGGCCTTAATTCTGCTTGCACAAAAGCTGATAGTGTTGCAGCTAATGTGATGTTATTGTCAGTATTTTTGTCTCCTGGGTGCTAAGCATCTCATAAACATAACGCAACATATATGTTTTATATATACATATCTGTGTGTACGTATGTATATACCCACATTGCCATAAACATTTACACTCGTATATAGTGGCTAACCTAATCTATATGTCTAATATATAATATATATAAATGAGATATGTCTAATATATAATAAACTTATTTGAGATGCTACTGAGGGCATATAGGATGCTGTGCTTCCCTATGAGTCTGTTGTGAAGTCTCCTATTTCTTTTCATGTAATGTTATTTGTGAAGATCCTTCAATGTAAAAAGCTGGATTTAATATTTGAGAACAATTTAAAATCCAGATTTTCTTTGGATCCATGTTTTTATTCATCCCATTAAATGTTGGTCGCCTGGACAATTTAATCTGGATTATGGTGTCTAATGAGATTAGTTAGATAACACGTTTTGTTAATTAGGGTGGCCTGCCCACTAGAGTTTTTCTGAAGGGTATGTTGGTGCATGAAGCAGGATGCTTTGGAGGACAAGGCACTGTGTGAGACTAAGGTCAGAAGCAGTATGCTGCAGGGTATATGAGAGGGCAAACACGATTGTTACTTGGAAGTGCTTTTTAAACTAATCATTTAAAAAGGCACAGAAAGAAAGAAAGAGAAAAAGAAAGAAAGACAGACAACATACATACTTTTATAGGAGTAGCTGTATCTATTCAATTGATGCTGAAATGATAACCAGTCAGGATTATTTAGGTTGGAAAAGACCTCTAAGATCACCAATTTCAATGAAGACCAATTGTACCAATTAAATCTGAAGAAACGAAGTGAACAGAGAGTGAAGCCAAAAAAAAAAAAAAAAAAAAAAAAAAAAAAAAAAAAAAGAGGAGAAAGCTCATTTTAAAGAAACTACTAGAAAATAGCTAAGTAATTTCTTGCTCTGAATAGTTCTGAGTTAGAGGTATTTGCGTTTTGCTGGGCACCATAGCTGAGAAAGATTAAATTTGGTGCACTTGAGACCCACATACATTTTCTATCTACTTAGAGTTTTTCATCACATGAAGTCAAGTCTTTTTGTATTTCCCAAGCAGACAGAACATCTGATTCTTTGCTTACCTGATTACTTGCTTAGGAAGAAGGACAACTCAAAATATTGGGATGAAATCGTGTGAAGTAAAATGTAGGCTGGATATCTGGCTAGATGTCATGGTAATAAGAAAAATTAAGCCGTAAAAGAGTCTGATGAAAGCCTGAGAGTCATTTGAACTAGAAAGAACAAAGCTGCCTGACATATATTGTAGAGAACCAACCTGCATTCATAGGGAGAGACAAGATGATATCATACATCTTCATCATTTATTTTTTAACATCTATAATCTGTGATAAAACATACTTCTATGGAGAGGGGCCAATATTTTGAAGCCTAGGTATTTGGATCTAGTTTAAAGAAGTATTTATCAGTAACAGGGAATGTTTCCAAGACTCTAAGATACGATGCAAAAGGAGCAGAAGGGTTATTGTGTTAAATAGACAGACCATGCTTAAAAAAGCAGGAGCTGCCCAACAGCCCATGTCTGCATGGAAGTTAGCCTTACAGTACTCCATTTGCAGTTGTCTCCTGTAACAAAAATCCACAATAAAAATAAAAAAACCCAACAAACCCACATCATAATTAGAGATAGCAGGGTATTTTTTTTTTTTTTTTTTTTTTTGTAATACTGATAGTTGTATCCAAAGCCTCTAACTCCAACCTGCATGTGGATCTTGCAAAGCATGTGATGGTTTCAGAATATATGAAAACAAAGATTTTTTAGCACTGGAGTTTTATCCTTGCATAGTTACAAGAAAGCATAGCCACCTTTTTCTAGTATCATAAGAATTAATAACAAAAGCTGCCAAGAAAAAATATGGCCTCTGGCTGCCACATGACCAGTGTAATCATATTGTTAGCTGCTGGCCTGAGTACACAACCCACATGAGAATGAGAATATGTAATAGCCTCGAAGTTTTTGTGCTCATAATACCATAGCACTATTTCCCCCTCAGCTTTATAGACATGGCAATTACAAATAACAAAAGTAATGTGTGTTGCAGGAAATTATAGACAAAATTTCCTTATACTCTTTACATTGATTTTTTTTTCTTTTCTTAAATAAAACCTAGTGTGTATGAGGAGAACATAATTAAAAAAACTTTTATTTGTCTTACATAAACTTACTGATTCTGTAAAATCCATAAGAGAACAAAGATGAATTGATGATTAAACATAACCTCAGCCAGTTTAAGAAATGAACATTTGCAAGCCATGTCTTTACAGGGAAGGAGATGATATCTCCTGTCAGTGTGGAAGCTCCCAAAGCATTTATCCCAGATTCAACCAGATGGGTAAGCCCAAAGTCATCACCTACTGCTTTCTGTTTACTTGCCTCAGCTCTTCAGACATGTCTAGCCAACATGAAAGAGAAAGATGCAATTTTCATCATTTGAACTTGGAGCTCTCTCTTCTCCTTCTGAGATCAGCATGAGTTGTGTGTTTATTTGAGGCAAGAATACAATATATGTTTTAATGTCACTCCTGGTACACATGTAATGGGTATTTTATTTTATTTCTGACGTCTCAGCTCTGGGTGCCTGCAGGAGACAAGATGAATGACCAGCTGTGCCAGCAGGCATGGCATTCAGCGGGGTCATGGCACCCGTCTTCTGTGCTGGATAAATCCTCTGCCATATGACTCAGTGGCATGAGTCACAAGCTACCCTCTGAAACAGGCTAACCATTCTTATCTGTATCTGTGTGTTTCATTTGTGGTCATAATACTTATTATCAACTGTGAGCTACAAGTGTTAAGTGGTTGCTTACTGTTTCACTGTCTGCACACATCTATTTGCCTACTAAAAACTACATAACGTTGCTAAAAATAACTTGGAAAAGAGTGAGCCTCATCACCTCAAAGCTATTTAAAGACTGATTTTACATCTTCAATATGTTTCAGTTTAAACATGTGAGATACCTTAAAATGTATGGCTGATTTCCCCTTATTTTTCCAGCAAAGGAGTAGTTCCAAGGTCAAGTGCTTTCATATATTAATGGGGTTCTCAGGTGTTTTCTCTAGCCAAGCTATCACAGCATAACCAGCCATAAAATATGTTTCAGTTAATCATTGCTCGAAACACATTTAGCAGTCACTTGTATTTTACAATGGAGAATCTCTACATTCCATTCAAAGTTGCAGTTGATACAGAGAACAGTTAAGTTAATAATGCCATGCTCGGGGGACACTTGACAAACAAAATTGCAGATGGGAAGCCTGGCCTGACTTCCATGTGTTTCTTGGAAGCCTTTCAGAAGGTTGATTATAACCTAATGAGCCCCGTGCTGTAGTCTTTGAGAGAAGCTGGAGTTTCAACACATGGTGGTGGCCTCGGTTACTCACAGCTTTTGTCTGAGGAAGGTGAGGAATCAGCTAGCTTAATTTAACCTCAAATAGGGAGGGGCAGGACTTTTCCTGCCCTGCTGGTGTGGTTTGCACCATGTTTCTGGAATCTGGCTAACACCTTCAGCGTGAAGGGCGATTTCAAGATGTCATGATACATCAGCAAAAGTTATTAGAGAAAGAATGTGAGCTGGCACCTGTGTTAATGCTTCCAAGTAATTAAAAGCATTGCTACAACCTCTCTGGCTTCTATAACAATCTCCAGGCTTGAGCCAGAGCTTCTGCTTTCCTTTCTGCCTGCCTGCTTTGAGTAACTCCCATCCCACCCTTCTGAGCAGTTGCGGAGGAGACTGTTTTGGCTGGAATTAGACATCCCCAGATGGTACTTTAATGCTCAACACCTGCTACAACTCCCTCAGTACTTGTTATCTCTGCCACAGCTTTTATACATGCCTTTTATCAGATAGTTGGGTGGAGGAGGGAGAGGAAGGAATGCTCGCCGTCCGGCTCAAAGCAGATGCAGGGCTGTGGTGTTTGTGCTGTGCTTCACCCACACACGAGCAGCAGCACAGGAACTGACAGCACCCTGGGTCAGCACCGACTCCATTGAGTTATTTTTTTCTGTATGCTGATTTAAGAGACACTGAACACTCACAACTCTGGAAAAATACATTATTTAGCTTGTTCAAAATGACAAAAAATTTCATGGAATTATTCTCCCTTCCTCTCTCCATTACTGCAGCTATCAAAGACATTGTGGACCACTGCTCCTGAAGGACTGCCAAAATGAAACAATGCCATGCTTACATTAATTTTAGCGAAAAGACCTCGTCTGTGCAGCTTTCAATATCTACCTTGGGGCTCTTCTTGGTCCAGCTGCGTCTTTTAAACTACTGCTGAGGACATGACTGACGGTTCTACAGCTCACAGGAATAAAAGCCCAGCTGCTTTCTGAGGTAGTCACTGAAAAAAAATGATCAAATTAGTGTAGTGGTCTTGTGTTGTAATTGAAAATTTCTATTAAATCAGGATCTCACACTGCTAGTTCCAGATGGGCAAATATATATTCGTGGTTGGAACTGAGAAGATGTTGGTCTGGTCCTCCTGATAGACTTTGTTTATTGACTTGTGAATATTACTAGATTGATTTTATTTCAACAGGATATGGATTCATTGTTCCCCCTGATCAAACAGCTTCTACAGAGTGGGGTACATCCTCAGCTGCTGCAAACCAGCCTACCATCACTGAAGCTATTTTATCCCAAATCAACACCTGGGGTAACCCTAAACATCCCAGATTTGACACACATCAGATTGTGGATGAAATGTACCCTTTACCTCTGGACCTCGCAGCAGTCAGTTTTGACTGTGTCTTGTGCACATTAGCAAAAGGGCAGCAATCCTGTGAAACAAATCCCCATTACTTACCAGCAAAGAGGATAAAAAGGAAAAGGTCCAGAAGGCTGGGAGAGTGTGAAATGCTAGCTGGGCATCTGCTAAACTTTCAGTACATGTTGTCCAGTCTCTTGCAAGCTGATCAAAGTGTTTTGTTAATGAAGACAGCTCAAACAAATTTTAATTGATAAGAAATGTGTTCAGAAGAAATTTGGCATAAGAACCATAGTTCTGTTAGAAAGCAGTCATAGCCTGGTTTTAGGGTTCCCAGGACATGACAGGGAGTGTGAAATGACAGAATATCTGACATAGCCAGGTTGATACTTTAATATCAAAAAACTTTAAAACAACACGTTTCAGGATCTGCTCAGGGTATGCCTCTTTGGACCATGAGGTTTGTTATTTTTGATCTTTTTATAAATCTTTTATCAGAAAAAAATATTTTCCTTCCATACATTATAGCTCCAAACAAAATATTCTGCACAGACTAACCTATCAAGTAGTATCCAGTGTACATATACATAACATAGTAGAGTTATGAAAGGATTGTCAGGTGGTTTTCTTCTAGAAATTCTGTTTTATTTACTTCAGAAATTACCATAGAATGCCAGCCACATCAGAAGTAACTTGTTGGTGAGTACTGGTGCTGTGTGCCACTGTGCAGACATAAAAATGAGAGCTCAGCTAGTTTACTCTCTCTCTTAGATTATGTTGGTGAATTAGTGACTCCTGTGACTAGTTATGGTTCAAGATAGCATCCAGCAACTGCTTCAATAGAAGACATTTTACTTTCCTGTAGAAGGAAATGTTTGGTAGCTGGACAAGCTACTTTTATATTATCTTTCCTGACCAGGGGAAATTCCTGAGGTAGGGTTTCTATCCTGGAACAAGACATTGGTGTTGGGCTGAGATCCTGGAAGAAAGCTTTGCAAGGCTTGTAATCCTTTTTATTTCAGGGTAAGTATGTGCTTGCAAATAAAGCAAGTTGTACTTAGAACTCTGTAGATGGGATCTATCTAACAAAACTATGCAGTAAATATTTATTTGTACTGTAGTTACCAGTTTCTGAGCTATTGTCTATAAAGCCAAGAGAGAAATAGACGCTATTAGCTCACAACTCATTTCATCCTTGAGCAAATGTCAAAAGCATATCAGATGAATGGCTCTCTTAACGTTTAGGTTGTGTGAGAAATACAATAGTTAGAGTTGAAGAAACAGGAAAGAATACATGTGCTCCTTTTGCATGACTTCAAAGTAAAATGAAATCAGGTCCTTATGAACTGTCAACACTAAAGCATTTGTGATTCTACTGCATCCCTGGGCTCCAGTCCCAGTTTTAAAGTCTCCACACACTCTTGCACTAAGACATGGATTCTATGAACATCTATGGGAATTTCCATTGTTAAGAACTGACATCAGTGTGGTATCATCATTTATTTATTTTAATATTATTTTTTCAAAGATGCCGTCAAATTATAATGACATTATCCAGGTCTCCTGAAATCAGAAAAGACATACCATTTATTTCAAAACATTGTGGGAGATCAAATCTGAAATATCAAAAGGGTGAGCTCTAGCACCCATTAGCAAGCATTATTTTTTTCCTGCATTTTCTCATGTAGTTTTCTTTTTGGGTGACCTACTGCAATTTATGCAGGCTTTTGACTAAACATATTTCAAATGTGCTCTTTCTTCAGGTTCAGTGACAAAAAAATACATGATGATGGGTTGTGCAGGTTTGTCTTTCAATCACGTTAAGTCAGCTGAGCAAGGTTAAGATTACTGGAAAGACCAATACACTTGAAGGCATGTTATCTGTTATCACTGGAGTCACGTGTGAAATACAGGCAGATCCTGAAAAGTCTTTGTGAATTTCCAGAATAGGTTGATTAAAAATTACTTTGCCTTTGGTTTACAGTCCAAGCCAAGATAACCTTATCTCTCTGGAGGTATGTCTTTCACCCTTCCAACTTCACCTTTTCCCTTTGTCATGAATTCACTAAGCTTGACGATCTCAATATCTAAAGACAAATTCCAGTGTCAATAGGGTATCTGTTGTCATGTGAACCTCACCTTCTCAAGGGTCACCTTAACTAATGCCAGTAGATATCCGTGAGCTTCTTTTTTATGCTTGTTCAATTGCATGATTTTTTTTTTAACATATCTTTAGCATATATTTTTAGTATTTATAATAAATAAGGTGTTTATAAGTGTATTATTATGTATTCCTTCTGGCACTGGTTTCTGATTTCCCAATTTGTTTGCTACCAGATGAGGGCATGCCACATCCAGTTAATTTATTTCTGAACTACTGGTAGGTCTCTTAGCAAGTTCATTGTGATTGACCATACATTCATTAGCATGTAGAATTATTTCTTAATTCTTCTGTGCGTTACGTTAACAATTTACTTTATCCAAACATCTATTATACTGGAATTTGCTAGATTCACCTGAGAACCAGAGTGAGTCCATGTAAAGTGTTTTTATTCCTGTTTTCCATCCACGTTCTGTACATCTTGATTTGCTCTTTCTGCCTTGACTTGGTGGGTGATGAAACTTGCCATATTTGTAAGTTCACTTCCGTGCTCCCTGGTGTGCTAAGTTAGTTAGCTTTCAATAGGCTTGCAGCACTTACAAAACGAACATGTCAGCTATATCTAAAACAATTTCATCTGTTATTTGGCTTTTGAGAACATGAAGACACAGATACTTACTAGGATGAAGCTGAAGTCACCTCTGAAGGCCAACAAGCCTGAATTGAAAGCACTTTTTGTTCACTAGATACCCTAGGCCTGAAAACGATTTAATTTGTCTTGAAATAATTCCACGAAAGTCATAATGAAGGAGGATATTTACTTGACCTATAAATCATTTTTATTGGAATCTACTTAATAATGGTTGGGCAAATCCTGAAATGCCTACCAAGTCTATAAACAAACAATTTTAAATCTTTGCCTCAAGATATTCTCCTCAATCACAGTAACTTCTGGATTTGTCCAGGCACTAACAGCTTGCATGTTTTCATTCATAAATACAGACTGGTGGTATGCACACTCCAGTGTGTGTTCTAAAATACTCTGGTGCTGAAAGATACCATATCTGCTTTTAATGAATAGACTGAAGGTCCTGAAAGGACAATGAAATAACTGAGTAGATAAAGTTCAAAAGAAGACAAAAGAGTAAGGGAAAAAATATATAGTAAATGCACCTATTGATCACAAATAGCTGTTTCTCTCAAGTACTTCCAAAACTATGAATGTCTCCTTGCAGATCACAAAATAGCAATATTACAATAAATTATGATGTAAAATCTGCATTGTTCACTGAACTTGGCCGGGACTTCACTGAGTTGCTTCATTCCAGCTCAGGACCTATTCTTTTCAGATTAAAGAGCTATTATAATTCACTGTTGTTTAAAAAGAGTTTAATGATATCTGTTCTGTTTTCTCAGACTATTCTGCCTAGTGCAAGTTATCAAGAAGCCAAGCCTTCTTGCCCTAGCTGAAAGATCAAAGATATAAAATCAACCAGCTTTGACATAAACAAGAGGCCATATTTTAGCTAAAGTTTTATCTGAAACTTTACCTAGAGAGGAATAGCCAAATGGCTGTGTTTTTTGCACGGTGTACTACTACACTCTATTTGATTGAGCTGCAATACAGTAATGTACATGGACAAATACAAAACCTGTATTGGTTCCCAATCAGCTTCTTACCTCTTTTCCATTTTAGTAAATAATAATAATAGGCTAAATGTAGAGATTATTTGAGGTAATGGTGTTTATATATATATTTTTTTCTGGCACTGCCTCAATTCATCATCAGTGTTGTCATCTTCACCTCCACTATCGTAAACTGTCCCAGTTGTGCCTGATATCCTTCTTCACTCATGAATACTTTCACGTAACCTTTTCCCCACACTTGTCTGTGGTCATTGGCTGAGTAGATCTGCTTTGTCGTGTCCTTTTGTCAGGCTCTGTCTACTTTGCAAAGAAGGCAGAGCTGAAGAATGGTCGAAAGCAGGCCTTGACGAGCCATGTTCACACACTGAATGTGACCCTGGTGTCCTCTGGGTCCCACTCGGTTCTTCTGGCCCATTGAGCTGTTGTTTGTGTGCTTTTGTTGTTTTCAGTTTGAGGTATTTGAAATAATACAACTCCTGTTTTGTACAGTGATGTCACCAGTATGAAACTGAGGTGAGGACACAAAAGCTACTGGGGTAGAGTTTGAGAAGAGGGTAGGGTGGAGAAAGCTGAAACTTACACACTTACACTTAAATATGCAACCTAACAGATTCCTAGTGCAGTGCTATAGATACTGCCTTCTTTAATGCTCCTCTATTCTCATGGAGGAGAGGCTTTTTGTGTACAAGCATTGTGCTGGCTCTAAAAATAATAATTTAGCTCTTTGATGTCCCACAAATATTGATTTAATTCAGAAAAAGAACCTCAATGAATTACTTTTCCTTCTGTTCTGGCAGGTTTAGCCCCCAAAAGAGAGCTTTAAGCTCAAAGGAATGCACTGTTATTAATCGTTTCTGGTTGCCAAACAAGAAACCATTGTTATTACTCTTTCATCTAAGTTTGCCCATGCTGCTCCAAAACAGGGTCTTCTGGCAGTGTTGTGTGAGAAAACTTTCATCTTGACTTCTGAACCTCCTGAAGGACTCCACAGCCACTTACAGCTCCAGATCTGTCCTGCTAAGCCAGCCTGCTAGCAGGGGTCTCTCCTGAACCCACAAGCAGTTGAGATCATACCTGCAACTTTACAAACAGCTTTTCCAAGCCACATGGATATACATGTATCTGTCAAAGCCTGCATTCACAAGGGTTTTTTATTCCTCTTTCTTCTCCTGTTGTATTCATTGTTCCATAAAATCCAAGTATTCTCTAGGTAGATATTTTTCAAGTTGCCTTTTTTTTTCTTCCTTTTTTTTTTTTTTCTTTTTTTTTTGTACTTGTGCATTTGGATGCACATAACTAACTGTACAACCCTCCAACTTCTCTGTTTTTTGAGCTCTTTCTGCACTTTCTACTCATGCATCTGCATGTTTTAAAAGAGCAATACTATGCTTACTCTTCAGCATTTGGCCAAACCCTTGCAGCCACTTGAAGCCTCTTTGAGGTAGAGGGTTACCAGAAGTGAATGGCTGAGGTGGCTATGGCCTTTCCTCCAACATCATCATTGGTAGTCTGGTGGTGCAGTACATCCCTCAGCTTAACACAGAATTGTGGGGTTGCAGCTGTGGCACTCATTGATTTAGTTCACAATAGCATCTGTATGAGGGAGTGTGTGTTATTGCAAGTGGACTGGGATAAGAGCATGTCTGATG